CAAGAGTGAAAAGGATGAGATTGGTACACTCTTGACAAGTCTGATTTCAATGAAGTATCAAGGTAACTGTAACATCAGGGAGTACATTATGCAAATGTCTCATTTTGCTTCTAAGTTGAAAGTACTTAAGTTGGACCACTCTGAGGACTTGCTAGTGCATTTGCTTTTTATATCTCTTCCACCATAGTTTAGCCAGTTTAAGGTGAGCTCTAATTGAAAGAGACTTGGTCTCTAAATGAGCTCATCTCACACTGTGTTCAAGAAGAGGATAGACTGAAGCATGAAAAGATAGAAAGTGCTCACTTGGCCGTTGTGCCTAAGGACAAGAAGAGAAAGAATATGGGGTCGTTTGGTATGAATACGGCTTATGCTGGGATAAGTTATGCTGGGATTAGTTATGCTGAGATTAGTTATTCTGGTATTATTTTTTATCCACTGTTTGGTATGTTGTATTAAAAATGATAATTGCATAATTTCTAAGAAAAATGTATAAGTTATCCTGGCACTAATTGCCCATCCCTACAAGGTATAAGTTATCCCGGTACTAATTTTAATCCCGGGATAACTTATACCAGGTTTGCTAACCAAATAATGTATTAAGGTGGTATTAAAATTTTATACCAGCACTATATATACTTATACCTCATACCAAACGACCCCTAAAGAAGCTGCGGATATAGCAACACAAAAGAAACAGCATCAGGAACCAACTGCAGATGGTTGTTTCTTTTGTAAAGCTGAAGGTCATAAGAATATGGATTGTACCAACTATCATGCATGGCGTGCAAAGAAAGGTACACCCCTTAATTTTATTTGTTTTAAGGTTAATTTTAATTTGGTACTAAGACACAGATGGTGGATAGATTCTGGTATAACAATTCACATCACTGTGTCTGTGCAGGGTTTCCTAAACTATCGAAAGCCCGATGATGGTGAAAGATACATCTACGATGGTAATGGCAAGTTGGTGGAATTCGAAGCAATTGAAACCTTTAGATTATTGTTACAAACCGGTTTTATTTAAATTTGAACGAGACTTATGTTGCACCATTTCTTTGATAGGATTTGATTTCTGTTTCTATATTAGACAAGTTTGATTGTTTTTATTTATTTGGAAATATATAAAAAAAAAATAGTCTCTTTCATAATTCAAAATTGGTTGGTCCCGATTCTTTATCAGGTTACAATAATACATACTTACTTGATATGATTGCTTCGTTCAATGAACCTTGCATGTTAATATAACTGTAATAAGAGTAAATTAATCATCCAATAGACAGCTTCTTTATGGCACGAGAGATTAGATCATATCTCTAAAAGAGAATTAAGAGACTTCTGTCCAATAATATTTTCTATCCCCTCAATTTTTCAGAATTTTTATCTCACTACTAAGGCTACTTTTTTCAACAATATGAGATTCTTTGAGGATGTTAAGTTTGCGAGGGGAGAGAGAGTTAAGGACTTTGTCTTTGAGGAGGAACATATTGATATTCCTCTAGTTGTGATTGTCAATGCTCAGGAACAACTTTCTATACCTGACATTATTCAAGAAGCAAATTCGGATCAAAGACAATATCATTCAACCCGTTTTTCAAGAAGTAGTTCTCAAAGAACAAACTCTACAATCTCAAGAATAAATTTCAATAAAGAAAATTATCTATGGACTTAAGAAAGTGTCTCATTAATAGTATTGCTAATTTCATCAAATTATTGCCTCATTTGGTTTCGAGATAAATCTTGTTAATTATTGTGTATACCACAAGTTTAGTGGGAGTAATATATTTTTTTATTGTGTGAGGTATGATCGGCTTTGTATGCGTCTGAATATCTCATTTAATTTAGGGATGTTGGGCAGATATTTAAACAATTTATAAACTTATCTTTTGAAAGCATCTTAAAGATTCAAAAGGTAATTACAGAGAACAAATATTTTATGCTCACATAAAGGATGTCGAAAAAGTTAAAGATAATCAGGTATTTGGATATCGACTTCACTAGATGTTGATATAATATGACATACTTGGTTGATGAGCTATATAAGGAAGAGTGTTAAACAAACACTCATAGCTCTCTTCACCATGGTAGTTAATTTATAACATATTATGTAGCATCTGATTATGGAACATGACTGCAGAATTTTGTCATTGGCTGCAAGTTTATGGTTAAAGTTGAAAGCACACTTGAGTTACTTTGTGACAATAAGTTAGTAGTCTTGTATTCCAGTAACGACAGGAGTTCGGTAAAAAGTCAAAGCACGTTGACATAAAGTTTATGGTTGTTAAAGAAAGAGTTCAAAGTGATTAGGTGTTTATAGAACATATTGGTACAAACTCCATGGTTGTGGATCCATTTACTAAGGGGCTACCACCCAAGGTTTTTATGAGCATATTGCTCTATGGGTGTCATGTCATTTAAGAATATTTAGTTTCAGTAGGAGTTTGTAACCTCTTAAATGTTCTTTATGGACACGATTTGGTTTCAGTTTAAGGTTTCAGGTAATGAATTTCAGTTTAAGGATATTTGAGGTTATTTCTGCAAAAATAAAGTATCCAATTTATTTTTCACTTTGACTTATTTTTCAGTTGGACCAGTTTGAAATATGCAGACTTAGATCACATTGCATATAATTTCCATGCTACACATCCATACTTGATCTATGTCATTTGGTTATGTTAGTATTCATGATCAAGGAAGGTTTAGTTGCGATAAATGTAACAAAAGCCGCCCTGGTCCAATATTGGCATGATCAATGGATGAGATTGTTTTGAGGTATTTCATATTGTGATAGCAAATATTTTGAGCTCATAAGGTGATATAAAATTACAAAGGTATATGTGTGTGTGTGTGTGTGTGTGTGTGTGTTTTTGTGTGTGTGTATAGTCCAAGTGGGAGATTGTTAGAATTTATGGACTTGCACATATATTGTATTAGGAATATTTATATGTTGGTTACTATCACTATAAGGTTGGCCTAAATTAAAGTGATCTACTATGGTTTAAAGTTAAAAGGGCCAAAAGGACACCTTACAAAGTATGGGGTCTTATGTATAGATACCCGAATGTTATTTCTAGTTTAATGATGGGCTAAATTAAAAATACATAAACTTGTGCACCTATTAAATGGGTTAATGGTCCCCAAATCAGATGTAGAGTTTTCTTTCTAGCATTCCATCGTTGGAAAGAAGAGAACGCCTTACGTGTTGGTTTGGAAGACTGCTAAAAACAAGACAACAAGTTTCATTCGTTTTCATAGATTCAGGTACGCTTCCGCATCTAGTTTTATTCTCGATGATTTGATATGATATATATTGGGTAAGAGATGATGGTGTTCATCTCTAAAGTATTTTGGTTCCAACACTTTAAACTAGAGTAAGTTCAGTATTCTCTTCATATTTTCTTGTTTTAATTTTTCAAAAATATTTCCTCATAACTTGATAAGCTAAAATGGCACAAAGTGTGTACCATTTTAAATACATCTGCAGTATCCTCCATGACTATTCTCGTTATTGCTATACTTGTTGTAAACTAATTCAAAGTTAAAAATAATGATCAATGCGCCGAGGGTCTATTGGAAATAACCTCTATATCTCAACGAGATAAAGGTAAGGCATGTGTACACATTACTCTCCTCAAATCCACTATGTGGGATTGCACTGAACTTGTTGTTGTCGTCGTTGATTAGTGCAGATTTCAACTAAAGCCTGTCGAAAAGGAGTTCAGCTTTCACTCTTTTTTTTTTCACCATTACTGTAATAAAAATTATAAAATGCTAATTACCAATGAATTACCATCACAGAAACTTGCAGCTTAGAAGGCAAGGGGTACATTGAGTTAAGTGGTCCTAAGGGCACATGGTTGGAGAAAGTGAGAAAGGGATAAGTCTAAAAGATGACAGAATGACAACTAGAAAACCCAAGATAAAAGAACTTAGTATATGTCCTTCAAGTTGCTAAAATGCATGGCAAGCTATTGGAAAAGGAATTTGTGGACTGCAGCAATTGCCCTTCAACAAAGGCTGTCAACAGTGAAAGATATGGCAACTAGTGCCTCATTATTGAACCTAATTAGTGGTGGCAAAATGGTTAAAAGAAATCAGTTATTCATCCATATTATCCATTAAAAAATAGATTGGATATGAACATTTTAAAAACGGGTCAAATATGGATAAGAACCATATTATCCGCTTAGAAAATGGATAACCAATGCGTTTAACTTATATATTTGTAAAGCCTCAAATTGGGAGTTACTCAAATTTGGGAGATTAAAAATTCTCCAAAAGTATATTCAAAAAGTCATGTATAATATGGACATCCACATTATCCGCCGGTTAACCCGTTTTTTTGTCCGTATTAAATATGGGTTGGGTTGGGTCGGGTAATTTATTCGTTTTTTTGCATTACTCGTTTTTTACCCGCCCATATCCGACCCGCTCCGTCCGTTTTGCCACCCCTAAATCTAATGTTCTGCTCTTCATTCCAACCAAGGAACTGCCAAATTCACTCTGTGTAATGAATGCTAATAGATTCTAAGTGATTATCCCTATTTTCTTCCCCAGATTCTCAAAAATAGGGAAAAGATTTATTAGTTGCATACATTAGTCTAGTATGCTCTATCTATTGAGATATTACAATTTAAATGTAATTTCACATACTTCTCTTTCAATCGATTGTGTCAATCTCAAAATAGTTACAATGTGACAAAATGAATCCTTTTATCCATCCATTCAGAGGATTAATTCCCCTCCCTAACTTGTATTTTTTTTTAAAAAAAAAAGAACAAACATACGAATAATAGTAGTACAAATAGTAGCAAATCATAACGGAGTGATGTGTTTTTATTTATTTCCTTGCAAATGTTAAAGATTTTGAAGTTAGACTGCTTGCTGAAAGAGCAAGTGTGTAATACTTTCTTTTTCATCTTTAAGGGGTACACTTAACCAGAAAATTTCTTTCAACGAGGAAGAAAGAGCAATTGTAATAGCCACTGCATTCCAAAAGGATATCAAATTAAAACGCTATTCAAATTTATTAGGCCTGATTATTTTAGCTTTGTTTGATTGGTGTACATTGGTAGCTTTATCTAGCAATGAGGGAGCAATTTACAGGTATTCTTGAGCAAGGGAATCATTCAAATGCAAGATATGATGGAAACAACCTCTTGCGGAAATTGGTTAAGTTAGTTCGAGCCGTGAAAATAAGCTCTTACAAAAATATAGGGTAAAGTTGCGTCAATAAACCCTAGTGGTCCGACCTTTCCCCGAACTCCGCGCATAACGGGAGCTTAGTGCACCGGGCTGCCCTGCCATTTATTGATCGAACGGACTTTTGGACTTCCTTGCTATTATTAAGTTGTATTCTCTGCTATCACCCTTCAATATTTCACCCTCCAAAGTACCATCTGATTCGCCTCACTTAATTTCCGCAGAAGCTAGTAAGAGCACAATCAGTTCATTCAACTCAATAAGCAAGTACAACAGAAGTACATATGGTCCTTGTTTCAAGCATTCTCTCCATCATAAACTGTAGCTTGTTTTCATAAAAGACACAGATAATATGTAAAACGTTTCTGGGGAGGGTGCAAACCTGGAGGGGCAGTCGAACCCCTAAATAGAGATGCAAGTTAGTAACAACTAGAATTCTAGATACAAATGAATAGAGAGGATTGCTAACTTTACAGAAACTGTCACCATGGTGGGAGCAGAAAGGGATCTTAAAGTTTTCACACCAATATGTCAGATATTCAACTCTACGCTTCAGGGGATGGTGGACAAAGAGGGACAGCAAAAGCGCTAACCGTTTCCTGCCTGAGTATAGACAGAATAGTTTATCAAAGAATTACTGAAGCAGAATTGGCAAGCATCATTCTATAAATCGTAACTCAATACTGAACAATCTACTGAAGAACAATTTAACTCATAGTTGATGCCAGGGTTCTATTCTACTACTAAATGTATTTACTAAGTATGGAGCTTTGAAACAATGTAGTGCGAACAACCAAGAGTTCTCAGCCCCACGCCATGGAGCATGCATAATTAACCACCAACTTCCCATCAAAACCGAAGTTCTGCAATGCAAGAGAATAGAAACAGTGACAGGCTAATCAAGTTCAATAATAAGCTCTAAATGCACGAGTTGACAGGCTAATCAAGTTCAGATAGCTGCTCAACAAACAGTGAATAGCCAATTTTACCAATACAGAGATTTTGACACCAACAGGGAGAGAAAAAGAGGGGAGGAAAATTAGGAAAAACTCAGAAAGAAACATATAATCTTCTAGAGATCGCCCAGAAAAGCATCAAGAGCTCATGTATGACGTTCAGTTGCTAACATATGTTTGACTTCCAATAGCAAAAAGAACTCGAGGCATACAGCATCTAAGTGCATTTAAAAGAATGAAATATCGGGCTGTTTGACTGCCTAGAAATTGAGTGGTGGTTGAAGATGTTTGGTCCATACTTTAGTTCATACAAAATACTTAAAAATTCATGTTGTCATGTGAGTTTGAATTTTTGAAGCTCACAAAATGGTCATAATGATAATGATAATGATAATGATAATAATAATAATGATGATAATGATAATAATAATTGTTGTTGTTATAAGCCAAAAATTTCTGTAAGCTATGAGAAGAAAAGGATCACATAAGTGTTCTGGAGGGAGAAAACAAAATTTTCAAATGAAAGTAAAATGACGATCACCAAAGGAAATTAATCAAAAAACATTGATCTTGAAATAATTATATGAAAACTTACATGTACAGGAAACTTACATTGTACAGGTCAATTACCAACTCATCTGGATTTGGTGAGAAGGCACTGTTAACATACACAAACTAGAGAGGAAAGGTTATATCAGTAATCACAACTATAATGTACAGTATCTGTACTTTAGAATTTCAAAACTTTGAGAGCAATTCTTTCCTCTGTACTTTAGAATTTCAATCAAAACAAAGGGCATACCAATGTCTCCCTATGAAGTTGGCGGCGCAGAAAATCTATTACTTTGATGAATTTGTCAGTACCTGCAATCTATGTTGATGTTTATATATAATTTGATGATTAGATGAAGCATGATAGGGAAAATACTGACTGATAATAATAAAACAAAGAACCCATTTAAAATCTAGGAAGTAGAGCTTTTTCCATCTTCAATTGGCTACAATAACATTAATCCTATAAGGGAATTCTTCTAAAACTAAAGTAGGAGAGATCTGAAGGCTGGCTCCAGACAAGAAAGTAAATGACATTTAGAAACTATATATCTTAAACTCCGCGTCTAGTCAAATGGTGCCAAACAAATTGGGACAAATGGAGTAGTATACTATTCCATTGGGCAAATATGACAATAAAGAGAGTGCAGAATTAGTGCCAAGCTTGCTCAAATCAAATTTCAACTGACACCACATGGAATAATCTCAACTACCCTATTATTTCTCAGGCTCCCTGAAGAAAAGGACTTCTCTAACAACATACTCCTGCAGAATCAGGTGCTTCTCCTGGATAAGTGGGCCCTCTTTGTTCCTTGTGCTGGTTGCAAAGGGAAACATCTGCTTTTATTAGTACCACTCCGTGTTTGATCTATTGAAACTAACCAGAGCACCTTGTGGTCACACCCTTCACAAGCTACTACCGGTATTACTTTTACCAAGAGAAACCAACAGCTCCTTTATGAAAGCTCCATTTATAAAGTAAAGCAACAGCCCCACTTATAAGCAGCTCCATCAGGCTAGCACCAGTGGTACTACTGAATACTGAGAGATGACCAACCGCTCCATTTATGCTGGTATTATACCCAAGGGTTGTTTTATAACCTAACTTGTCATTCAAAATATTTTACACTAGCTCCCTTGCCAGTCGGTTCCCAACCATGTCTAACTGCTGCAGAGAGTGCACCTATCCCTAGTAAGCAATCTCCACGACCTACAACACTATAGCTTAAGAGAAAGGATAGAAAGCCCAAGGATAATCACTATAGTGTATGAAAGCTTGAAGGATGGTGGCAAAAATTGTGTGACCCTCTCAGACTCTCCTCAGGAACACTATTAGAATCCTAATTTGCCCGATTTGCCCCTCTATCCACTCTACCTGTAAGGATAGCCATACGAGCCATACATTCCTAATTTACAGCAGCACAGAACTACCCTTTCATTCTCACTGACATCTCCTTCTCTTTTTTCTTTCTTTTTTTGGGGTGGGGAGGGGGGTGGGAGCGTGGGGATCAGTTTAACTAGGTGAGCTCCACAAAGCATAGTCGCTCCCAAGATCTGAAAAAACGAGAAGACTTGCTGTAGGTTAATGGTTAGCGTAAAAGTCTAAATGAAGAATCCTCTAGATACAGAATTCATTCGGGCACACCCACCAAGGCATTATCTCCTTAATAAAGGAGAATTGATACTAAGGATTTATACAGTTGACTCCAACTAATTCCGAATTTAGGCATAGTTAATTAATTGATTCATACAAATTTTGACTTGCATTCTAAGTCTCTTTTCATCTATCATCTGCGCTGTAAAACTGGACAAAGTTCGAAAGGTGCATTCTCATTTCCAAACAGCTCTAATTTTCATTTCATTTTAACCATTAGCAGAAATTTCTCTTAAAACCCATAGAGTGACTGATGCAAATTGAATACTCATTGATAAACGATGCATGATCAACACTGAAATAAACAGGAATACATGAAATCAATTACACAAGGAAACAATTTTCATTAAACATCCCTACAAAAGGTGCTCAACCATATATTAATTTATCTTCTCTCTTTCTTCTTTTCATCACACAAGGGGCTGGATAGGCGTCAGTGAAGATTCCATAGGAATAAAAGAGGCAATCACTCAAAATTTTATACTCCGTCCATCCTTAAAAAGACCGCCAAGATTCTATGTACCGATGTCTAACACATCAAATTTCAAGCATAAATTCAGACATCAATTCTTCTTTTTAAATAAACTTTAAATATTTAGAAACTAGAGCGCTGCTAAAATATTTTATACTCCCTCTACTCCAACTTATGTGATATTCTTTACTTTTTAGTTTATTCCAAAAAGAAAATGACACCTTTCTATAACAATTTAATATTACTTTCCATTTTACTCTTAATAAGATGATTAATAGCCACAAAATTCTCTATGATTTGTTTTACCTCACCAGTTTCAAAAGTATTTCTTTCTTTCTTAAATTTTGTGCACGGTCAAACAGCATCACATCAAATGAGACGGATGGAGAAGTTAAAAATATAATAAGAATCTTAAAAACGCATAGTCAAAGGAGAAACTGTAATTTAGAAAAACGGTAAAGCGGAAATATATTTAGGGCTTTGGATAATAACTCAGCCTAGAATTTTAACACCAGCAATTTATCTGATAAAAAATACATAAAATAGATGAAAAAACCAAACCTTAAATTTGGCTTGTTTAAGAATTGGGGCATCGCCAGTCGCTCTTAAATGAACAATCACTACATAAACATCAAAATCAACAGAAAAAATAATTAACAACAAGCATTAATCTATTTAAAGAGCAAAATAATTGGGAAAAAGTAGGATGCTTGACCAAATTGAAGCATGTGATCAGACCTTTACGAGAATCGGAGGCCATAGCTGAGAATTTCACGATTCTCTTGAAGTTATTCAGAGGTGCTTCTATGCCGGTCCAAAATTGGTCCACCCGTTTTTCTGTAATTTACCCGAGAAAATGACAAAAACGGTCCTTATGTTTTGGATTGAGTCTAAACTAGTCTATTAAATATATTTCTGAGCAATTTCTATCGTTTAAGTGAGCGTTTGGACATAAGAATTGTAAAATTCTAAAAAAAAAGGTGAATTTTTTTTTCAACCGAAAATGATATTTGAAAATTAGAGTTATATTTGCACATAAATATAATTTTAGGTTGTTTTTAAATTTTTGTGAGTGATCTAAGTGAAAATTTTGAAAAATAGCTTTTTGGAGTTTTTCAAATTTTTGAAAAATTCCAAAATTCATCTTCAAGTAAAAATTAGAAATTTTATGGACAAACGTTGATTTAGAAAAAAAGTAAAAAAAATTCGAAAAAAGTGAAAAAAAACTTATGTCCAAACGGGCTCTAAGTTGGTTAAAAGTGAATACTTTGATCTTCGTCAATATTTAACTTCGGACATTAGATGTAATAAGATTTAAGAACTCACATTTAGAGGTTCAACTTTTTAGTTTTTGCTATTTTTAGTTTATTTCTAGTGTATGATGCATTTGTTTTGTGAAATTTTTGTTATTTTTGGTATGCTTTTTTATGTCTAGTGCAGTTTTTTGTGTCCTTTTCTGGTATTTCTAGTTAAATTATTTTCTTACATGTTCCAATTAAATCTAAGAGCCAGAGTTTGTTAAATATCAAAAGTGTCCACTTTTGATAAATTTAAAGGATCGAAATTGCTCGAATATATATATATATATATATATATAACTATTATAGCTCTACCTCAAACATAAGCGACCACTTTTATTATTTTTTCTAATTTATCCGTTAAAAGAAAATACTCATGCCTAATTTTATATTAAGGTGTTGATTGAAATTAGTTCAACAAAGTTTAAGAGACTGTTTGTCTTAATTAACTGAAATTGGTTGGTAAATAATTAGTGCGCCAAAGGGTGAAACAGTTGGAAGCACTAGTTGGGCAAGCTCTTGAAATAAGTTCTGATTCTTCTGTTCTTGCGAGAATGGCACGTTTGGAGGCAGATTGTGCGGCGAGGCATGAAACTACGCTGGCAGAAATAGCCTTGGTACGCAAAGACGAGGAAGAACTTCGCGAGGAGGTGGTTCAACTTCAAAGGGCATTACAAAACACTGCCCCTAGAAGCCATGATCGCACCAACATGAGGATTCTGGAGACAAAGGCTTATGGCGGTGCAAGAAGTGCCAAAGAACTGGAAAATTTTTGTGGGATATGGAGCAGTATTTTCAGGCTGCTCGTGTGCCGGATGATGAAAAGGTGACCATCACACCTATGTATTTGACTAATGATGCAAAAGTGTGGTGGCGTACACGAGTGATAGAAGTGGAAAGTGTTGGACTGCCCAAGATTGGAACTTGGGAGATGATGAAGAAGGAGTTAAAATCTCAATTCCTTCCAACCAACTCGTCATGGGTTGCAAGAGATGGACTGCGTCGCTTGAAACAAAGTGGCACGGTGAGGGAGTATGTCAAGGAATTCTCATCCTTGATGCTGAATGTAAGTAATATGGCAGAGGAAGACAAGCTGCATTACTTCATGAGCGGATTGAAGGGTTGGGCGCAATTAGAGTTGAGAAGGCAGAATGTTCAAAACCTCTCTACTGCTATTGCGGCGGCAGATACGTTGGCTGACCTCAATATAGGTGATGACCCCACTGAGTCTTCGCATTCAAAATCGGACGGAAGGAAGGACAAAGAAAATGAATGGAAGAAAAGTGAGAAATGCCAAGTTGCCGAAGATGTTGGGTTTGCCAAGAATAGGAGGCAGGTGGAGACTTCCATTGGCAAGGAAAGAAGCGGCAAATTCAAAGGATGTTATACTTGTGGTGGACCGCACTTAAAGAAGGACTGTCCGGTGCAGGCTAGAGTGAATTCTATGCTGGCTGTGGAAAGACAGGAACAAGTGGCAGAGGCAATAGCCATTGTGGTGGATGCGAATGGAGCAACAAGGGCATTGTATGCCAACAACCCATTGGGCTGATTAATTAAGTGGGATCGATGAGGATATCGATTTCAAAGGGTGCAGGTGGTTTGTTAGGGGCCCCCAACTCTTTGACATCGGGCCTGGCGCGGCTCTGGCAAGGATTGGGTGTGATGACCTTGCCATTGGCTTATGCACAGGCAAAATGATCATGTGGACAATGGACAAGACATTGTCATATGAACAAGTATTGGCCAAGGTCGTGAGACATGTAAGACATGCTTGGCAAAGGCTTGATAAGGCAGTGCGGGCAAGTTGGGGCGGCATGTGCGCCAAAGTCAGTGGTACGGGCAATTCGGGCTAAACTAAAGCACGACTGCGCGGGATGATGGGAAAGTCAACTTGTCACGACCCAAAAATCCTAACCTGTCGTGATGGCGCCTATCTCAATACTAGGCAAGCCGACAACATCAATAACCTACGATTTCCTTTAAGTTTGAAAACATGATGTTTAAATATAATACCAAAAATCTCGCAAATCCCAATACAAACACTCCCAAAACCTGGTGTCACTGAGTACATGAGCATCTATGCATTACAAGTCTGGGAAACACGGTCTATAATAATCTGAGACCAAATACAATAAACAAATGGATAGGAAAGGAGAGACAAGGTCTGCGAAACATAGCAGCTACCTCTGAATCTCCGGATAATCAATTGTGTGAAAGAATCAACCCCCACTGTGTCCGGGATCACCTGAATCTACACACGAAGTGTAGGGTGTAGTATGACTACAACCAACTCAGTAAGTAACAATAATAAATAAGAACTGAGAGTAGTGACGAGCTTCACAGCTAAGTCCAAATAGAGTGATTTTCAACACAAAAGGGTGGGCATGCTCTTAAGTTCAACATTTTAAATTCCACGATAATTTCATATCAACTTCGTCTGAAACAGAAGATAATGTCTTTTAGAAATTTCCAAAACAGTGATATATGATAGCTGAAATGCAGCAATAATGAAATCAATGCATCCTCTCAAAGTAACAGTCACTCAATCCTCCCATTCACTCCAACCTCATAATCACTCTTTCCTCACAGTCACTCATTCCTCTCAATCACTCAGCACTCGACACTCACACTCAGTAGGTACCTGCGCTCACTGGGGGTGTGTACAGACTCCAGAGGGGCTCCTTCAGCCCAAGCGCTATATTAAGCCAATCATGACATATAACAATGAAACATGCTGCGGTGCGCAGCTCGAACCCAAAAATATCCTCATAATTATGCCCTCGGCCTTACTCAGTCATCAACCTCTCCACTCTCTCGGGCTCAAGATGTCATGAAAATCAGCCCAAAAATGATAATATGATGTATCAATAAATAACAACAGAGACTGAGATATGATATGAAATTAATGAACATGATTGAGTGTGAAATTACAATTTGAGCATATAATTCAACCACAGAAATGACCCCAGTGGGTACTAATAATAACATCATATGTCTAAGCATGATTTTTAATACAAGTCTTAGCTCAATTTTCTCTAACACGTAGAGAATTTACGAATAACGACAAATTATTCAACTACACAGTTCTATGGAATTTGACCAAGTCATAATTCCTACGTTGCACGCCCACATGCCCGTCACCTAGCATGTGCGTCACCTCAAAACCAATCACATAACACATAATCCAGGGTTTCATACCCTCAGGATCAAATTTAGAATTGTTACTTACCTCGAACCGTGAAATTCTTTACTCTGCAATGCCTTTGCCTCGCGAATCGGCCTCCAAACGCCTCGAATCTACCCACAAATAATCTGATTCAGTCAATAAAAATTATAGGAATTAATTTCATATGAAAATACAAATTTTCCAACAAAATTCAAAATTTAGCTCAAATATTGCAAGTGGGGCCCACATCTCAGAACCCGACAAAAGTTACAAAACCCTAAAGCTCATTCAACCATGAGTCGAACCATACTAATTGTACCAAAATCCGACCTCAACTCGACCTCCAAATTCTCAAATCTTCTTTTCAAATCCCTAGGTTCAAATCCCCGATTTACACCTAAAAACATGTAATCTAGTCGGATTATACGATGATAATTCAATATTATGGAGTAGAAATGATCACAAGTGACTTACATCAAGATTTCCCGTGATTTCTCGCTCAAAAATCGCCTCACCCGCTTTTGCAAATGTCAAAAATGACAAAATTTCTTAGACCCTTCTGTTTTGTACAGTGCCCAATGCTTTCGCACCTGCGACTCATTAAGACGATTCTGCGGTACATGCTTCTGCGACCAATCTGCCACTTTTGTGGATAATTACGCTTGTGCGGAGCTTTGTTCGCATCTGTGGACACGCTTCTGCGGTCTTGCCCAGCTCCCCTCACCTCCGCTTCTGCGACTTTTGAGTCGCTTCTGCGGACTCGCTTCTGCGGAATTTGCGCACCTACGATGCCCATAGCACTTCTTCAAGCTCCCACCTGCGAGCCAAGTTCCGCAGGTGCGATTGCACTAGAAGGCAGAAACTTCAGCTTTCGTCTAAGTCCGAATTTAATCCGTTAACCACTCGAAACTCACCCGAGGCCCCCGGGACCTCAGCCAAATATACCAACAAGTCCTAAAACAACATACGAACTTAGTCAAGTCTTCAAATCATATCAAACAACACTAAAAACACGAATCACACATAGATTCAAGCCTAATGAACTTTGAAACTTCCAATTTCTACAAACGACGCCGGAACCTATCAAATCACGTCCGATTGACCTCAAATTTTGCACACAAGTCATAAATGACATAACAGGCCTATTCAAATTTCTAGAATCGAATTTTGGCCCCGATATAAAAAAGTCAACCCCTTGGTCAAACTTCTCAAAAATTCAACATTCGCCATTTCAAGCCTAATTCCACTACGGACCTCCAAATAATTTTTCGGACACGCTCCTAAGTCCTAAATCACCATAAGGAGCTATTGGAATCATCATAATTCAAATCCGAGGTTATTTATACATAAGTCAACATCAGGTCAACTTTTCCAACTTAAGTTTTCAATTATGAGACTAAGTGTATCATTTCACTCCGAAATTC